CAGTGATTCAATTATTTTGGCTCTATTGATATACTTGTAAATATTTGTTGGCCCAGATTTAAATTTCAGGTTACGAAGGTCAATCTTCATTTTTAATATAATATACCGACACCATACATCAATAGCGAATATGAGCTGGGTTTTTTTATGGGACACATCGTGATAAAAAATAAGATATTTCGACCTCTTATGTTTCCCGCCCTACTTTTTTCGGAGAAGGGGTCAAAACAAAAAAGAATTGTAAATCGAAAAAAAATTCTTACTATAGTATGTGTGGTACCTTAGGGTAAATAAAAATTTTTAGTACCACTCCCTCCTTTTTCAAATGCCGTAAAAACATTGGATTTTAAATTTGTCTATGTGGCTGTATAGAGGGCCCCGAAAGTAAACGAAAAAATTGGTGCCATCCGTTCCCACCCACTTTTTTGAGGGGGGTAAAAAAAAAATAAAAAAAAATGTACCACTTAGTAGAAACCCTCAAGAAACTAAAAAAATGTTAGTACCCTTTTCCCCCTTTTTTCCATTTTCCTGGGAGAAGTTCAAAATCACGATTTTTATTTTGTTTTTGTTTGATATGGTTTTATTAAAAAAAATCGGTTAATGTTTGAAATGAATTTCATTACATCCCCCCTATTTTTTCAAAATTGGAAATTTTTGTTTTTATGAAGGGCAATGACCAAAATGCAATTGAATTGGGCAAGAAACGTGCGGTTTTGCTGATATATGTAATGTTGCTATACGTTTTGCTTCAGTGACACACAAATTATGTATTACCTATACAGGGTGTTTTTTAAAAATCTCTTTTAAATTCACCGTAACCAAATTTTATCAAATGGAAACGGGCTACTTTTTAATAGAACACCCTGTATATTTTGAGCCTATACAAACTTCGTTCCAGTTCTCATCAGTACAATAAATACTGTTATAATTCGCAGAATAAAAAAAATTAAGTTCCTTGAGACAAATAGTTTAAAAAAAACTGTTTTATTTTGTGGAAAGGGCCTTCCTCTTAAGTTGGCATTTAAATATTAAAACATCAGGTTTTGTGAAACGTAATATTTCTTAAAAACTGTCCAAATAAAATTGACCGAAAGGTCTAGAATTTTATAATCAGTCAGCCTTTTTAAAAACTGGAAAAAGGACATTTGATATAATTATGCCTGATTAGATGTATTTTAAAAAACTAGTAATTATGGAAATATTTAAAATTAAAAATAAAAAAGAAATAGCAACTTATTTAAAAAATTGAATGAGTTAAGAAAAGACAAAATATTATAAAAAAAAATAATTCTTATTTAAAAAATGTATCCAAAAATTCGTTATAAAAAAAAAATAAAAATAAAAAATAAAACAAATAAAAAATTGTAAATAGTATTGACAAGATGTTTTAAAATTGGGTTTATTTTTGAATATTAGTTTAAAAATATTGGCTATAGACAGGAAATTATCTTGAATTTAAAAAATATATGTTATTAAAAAAAAAAAATAATAATAATAATAATAATAATAAATAGTTTAGAACTATGAAAAATAGTTTTTGGTTTTGAAAAATACTTTAAAAAATTCATGACTGGTATTAATTCTAAAATTTCTTCTTGAACATGTTTCAAAATTCGGCTAGAATTTTGAGCATTATAAGACTCCCACTGCCGGATGTACAATAAAAGGGTCCCAAGGAAGATGTAAGGGAGGCTGAAATTAAAAAAAAATCATAAATCGAAAACAAAAAGCGATATCAACAGGTTAGTAAAAATCAAGGTCTATAAGGAGTTGAAGCCCATTGATTCTAAAAAAAATTGAATAAAAATTAAGGTTAAGTGGGGTTAAAATGTTTCAAAAAATCCTTACTCAGAAGCGAATAATATCAACTTAAAATTTTTGGCAAAAATCAAGCTCTATAGGGGCACAAAGCCTATTCATTTTGAAAAAAATCTGATTTAAATGGGGGTCAAAGAGGGTTAAAATAAAATACAATAAAATATAAAACAAAAAGTAAAATGCAAAATGCGAAATGCGAAATGCGAAATGCGAAATGCGAAATGCGAAATGCGAAATGCGAAATGCGAAATGCGAAATGCGAAATGCGAAATGCGAAATGCGAAATGCGAAATGCGAAATGCGAAATGCGAAATGCGAAATGCGAAATGCGAAATGCGAAATGCGAAATGCGAAATGCGAAATGCGAAATGCGAAATGCGAAATGCGAAATGCGAAATGCGAAATGCGAAATGCGAAATGCGAAATGCGAAATGCGAAATGCGAAATGCGAAATGCGAAATGCGAAATGCGAAATGCGAAATGCGAAATGCGAAATGCGAAATGCGAAATGCGAAATGCGAAATGCGAAATGCGAAATGCGAAATGCGAAATGCGAAATGCGAAATGCGAAATGCGAAATGCGAAATGCGAAATGCGAAATGCGAAATGCGAAATGCGAAATGCGAAATGCGAAATGCGAAATGCGAAATGCGAAATGCAAAATGCGAAATGCGAAATGCGAAATGCGAAATGCGAAATGCGAAATGCGAAATGCGAAATGCGAAATGCGAAATGCGAAATGCGAAATGCGAAATGCGAAATGCGAAATGCGAAATGCGAAATGCGAAATGCGAAATGCGAAATGCGAAATACGAAATACGAAATGCGAAATGCGAAATGCGAAATGCGAAATGCGAAATGCGAAATGCGAAATGCGAAATGCGAAATTCGAAATTCGAAATTCGAAATCCGAAATTCGAAATTCGAAATTCGAAATTCGAAATTCGAAATTCGAAATTCGAAATTCGAAATTCGAAATTCGAAATTCGAAATTCGAAATGCGAAATTCGAAATTCGAAATTCGAAATTCGAAATTCGAAATTCGAAATGCGAAATTCGAAATGCGAAATGCGAAACGCGAAAGGCGAAAGGCGAAAGGCGAAATGCGAAAGGCGAAATGCGAAATGCGAAATGGGAAATGCGAAATGCGAAATGCGAAATGCGAAATGCGAAATGCTAAATGCGAAATGCGAAATGCGAAATGCGAAATGCGAAATGCCAAATGCAAAATGCAAAATGCAAAATGCAAAATGCAAAATGCAAAATGTAAACTGCAAAATGCAAAATGTAAACTGCAAAATGCAAAATTTATAATGCAAATTACAAAATGCAAAATTTATAATGCAAATTACAAAATGCAAAATTTATAATGCAAATTACAAAGTGTAAAATGTTTTTAGCAAAAATCAAGCTCTATAAGGCCTTTATAAGCCCTTTGATTTTGAAAATTCTGAATAAAAATGGAAGGTTTAAGGGAGTAGAAATTAAAAATAAAATCAAAAACAAAACACGATATCAACATGAAATTGAATAAAAATGGGGGTTAATTAAGTGGGGTTGAAATATTTCAAAAAATCGAACAATATCAACTTGAAATTTTTTGGCAAAAATCAAGCTCCATAAGCCTATTCATTTTAAAAAAATCTGAATGAAATGGGGGTCAAAGGGGGTTGAAATAAAAAAAAACAAAAGCAATATCAAAATGAAAAATAAAGCAAATTAATAAATAAATGTTGAAATACTGAAAAAAAAAACAGAAACAAAAACTTTAAATCTACAGGAAAAATCAAGCTTTATAAGAGGATCAAGCCTTTTGATCCTGAAAAACTAGAATTTTAAGCAGTGGCGGCTTGTGACCAAAGTTTTGAGGGCTCACAGTAACAGAATATACATATCAGTACAGATATATGAAAAAAACTTACGGTGTTTTAGAAAGTTTACAATATACTTTTCTAAAACACAAACTGTTCTTTACCTATATCTGTACCAACATCTATATTCTACTATTGTGAACCCCCAAAATGTTGGTCACAAGCCGCCCCTGATGCCAAGCATTATATATCTTCAATCTAGTTTTTATTAAAAATATTGCTTTCCAACGTAACATAAAAAATGGTGTGCTGAGTACTGCATTATAAATACACATTAATACATTTTCGTAACTTTCCCTCCAAATATTAGAATTTTAACATAAATTTGGTAAAAATCTGATAATTTTGACAATATTGCGCCTAAGGACTGTCGAAGTAATAAATCGGTAATGACCTTCAACATTTGTTAACTAATAAGGATTCGTAAATTAGGCTGAGGCATTGGGCAAATCTGTACGCGAATATGTATGCGTTATTTTGACGTCTTGAGTTTGACGTATTATCTTTATTTTTAGCAAATAATTGCATTCAACTCATACTTTATACAAATAAAATAAGAAGTACTTATTTAGTAATTATTAAAAAAAATTAAATTCTGGTAAAGTTATCTTTTTTGTTTTTCGATTTCTTAGGTATCAACTAATGCGAAAACGCCGGCACCCCTGTGGGGGTTTTGTCCCCTAGGCAATTGCCTAGTGTTCCTAGTGGTAAATCCGGCCCTGGAAACTCCTCTTAAAATCGAATTTGAAGAATCAAAAAATTACCTAAAATTTACCTAAAAATGATCTTGAATTAAAAGTCATAGAATTTATTTAAATAAATCGGCTGGAATTTTAATAAATCTACTTGGAATTTAAGTCATCTACTATCATTTTAACAAATCTGATAGAATTTTAAGAAATATGTTATAACTTTAACAAATTGGCTTTAATTTCAAAAAATCGGTAAAGAAGGCATTCATTTTAATTTTATTTTTAACCCAAAAATGAAAACCGTTCTCATCTAAAAGCTACAAATGGGTAAATTGTAACGCCTAAAAGTGTAGGTACATTTCCCTTCAAACTAATAAGTATCTAAAAATAATATTTTTGTTTATGTTTATTGTGTATTATCACCGAATATTTAAAGAGATCACCATTTCAAGGTCTATCGATTAATACAATCTAGTTATATCAAGTAGCGATAATTTAATAAAAAAAAATATATATTTCCTTGTCACAATGTGTGTACTTTTGCTCTCTGGAACAAAGATATGATATAACTTTTCATTTAATCGTTGACATTACAAAACTCCCCTCCAAAAATCAGGAAGGTTGATCCATATAAGTAAGCTCGAACCACAATGCATTTATCACTCGCGATTCAAGTTGCATAGGTACCTGCGGTATACCTACCGGTATAATACCTTCCTTTTATCTATCTACCTTTCGTATTCAGTTGCTGATAATTTCCGTTTGTTTTTTTAAACTGGCTAAGTTTCGAAAAATCGTTGCAAAATATCACCGTCCCGATTGTTTTATTTCCAAATCGGATAAAATTTACTTGAAGTATATTTTCGGGTGTTTTTCAACGTACCATAAATCTTACACTTAATTTTTTTGAATATATTTTTCGGTTGGTTGATTGAATTTTGGTGGTGAAAAATGCCTGCTTTGTATCCTACTGTTGTTTCTAACAGGTGAGTAATATATTATTAATAATTTATTTCATATACAAAAAATGTCATGACATTATTGTCATAATAGTAGCGATAATAACATTATTGTTCGTCCTAAAAACTACAGTGACAAATTATTGTTATGAATTTAGATTTTGAACTAGTCAAATTTATTTATTTCACCTTATAAGGAAATTGTACAAAAAAATTATACAACGTTTATCGTGAAACATGTCATGGTAATTATAAAAATACATAAAATTATATACTTAAAAAAAAATTTGAATAAAAAAACATTCCTAACAGATTTATTATATAAAATATTTTTCTATGGAATAGCAGTTTTTCTCTAATAAAAGTTTTGTACATTAGACTTAAAAGTGAAGAGATTACTGTTGTTCTTTATGCCCTCTGGAAGCATATTATAAAATTTAAAACCCATATACCCATTGATATGTTGTTATGAATGAAAGTACATGCTTCTAATATACAGTATGGTTCAAATGAAAGGAATAAATTCATTTTAATGGAAGTAGTTGGTTTTTCGAAAATATGCTCGGACAGGTTAATTTTGTTTACTTAAAGCGCAATTTTTTAAATAGAATTAAATTATTTTCCACTTGGGCAGTGACGTCATTGACAATTTTTTTAAATAGTAACCCCATTTTTTTTCTTGATTTTGATAGATCTTGCAATTTGCTACTCAGAAACATAATATTTGAAATATCTTACATAACAATTTTTTTGAATAAAAGTCATTTAAAGATCAGACACATAAATTTTATTTTTGAGAATACAATAAATGAATGAAAGATAATTATTTGTAATTAAGTGCTTAATCTAACAAAATAATAATAATAATAAAAAAGAATTTAATAACAATTTGACAGCAAAAAGACATCTAACCGAACCGCTATTTTGCCAAAAAGGCGTCTAACTGAACCGCCATTTTGCCAAAAAGGCATCTAACCGAAGCGCCATTTTGCCAAAGAGGCATCTAAGCTAAGTGTCATCTAACATGGGAAAATGCATCTAAACGAAGCACCATGTTGGTCAAACGTCACCTAACCGAAGCGCCATTTTGCCAAAAAGGCATCTAACCGAAGCGCCATTTTGCCAAAAAGGCATCTAACCTAAGCGTCATCTAACCTAGAGTCATCTAACCTGGGAAAAGACATCTGAAAAAGGCATCTAACCTACCAACATGTCAACTGTCAACCTAACCTAACTTGGAGGTGAAGGTGGCCCAGTTGAGGGGAGTAGAAACGATGTTTACGTAAAAGTAAAAGTAACATGATTCCAAAAGATGACGCTACCTGTCAAAGACCTGTCAACAGGATAAAGGTTTGCGACTTGGCTAGGTCATCAGCTAAGCAAGATGGCGGCAAGAGTATCATACTCAATACCCAGAAAAAGTGAATGTTTGGGCGGGAATAATAGATAATTAGACTATTGGGCCATACTTTTTTCGAAGAAACCTTAACAGGTCCATGATATTTAGAATTTCTTTAAAACTTCTTGATCCCCGAATTAAACTGATTGTTCCCAAACATAAATGATTTATGGCTACAGCAAGACGGTGCACCTCCACACTATGCTGTCTTGATGCGAAACTACTTGGACAACATCTTCCCAAATCGGTGGATAGTTCAAAGAGGATCAATAGAATGGCTCCTAGGTCACCCGATTTAACTTCTCTTGATTTATTTATATGGGGATACATGCAAAGTAAAGTATACTAAAATAGACCACAAAATATCAATATCAAAGAACGGATATGTATTGAGAATGCAAACATGACTCCGCAAATTTTGGAGAACGTCCAAGAAGAGATCGTTGCACGTCTTTCCCATTGTATTTTAGCTGAGAGTCAACAATTTGAGCACTTAATATAGATTTGGTTGTTTTTAATGAATAATAATAATAATAATAATAATAATAATAATAATAATAATAATAATAATAATAATATTTATTGTACTAATAAAAGGCAAGACGTCGGTGGAGGACATTTTGAACACCTAATTTAGTAGAATATTTTTTAATTATTTTGCTGTGAAATTGTCATTAAATTCTTTTTATTATTATTATTTTGTTAGATTAAGCACTTAATTACAAATAATTATCTTTCGTTCAAAATAAAATTTATGTGTCTGATCTTTAAATGACTTTTATTCAAAAAAATTGTTATGTAAGATATTTCAAATATTATGTTTCCGAGTAGGAAATTGCAAGATCTATCAAAATCAAGAAAAAAATTGGGGTTATTATTTAAAAAAATTGCCAATGTCGTCACTGCCCAAAAATGGGAAGTGGGGGAAAATTTAATTCTTTTTAAAAAATTGCGCTTTTAGTAAACAAAATTGACCTGTCCGAGCATTTTTTCGAAAAACCAACTACTTCCATTATAATGAATTTATTCCTTTCATTTGAACCATACTGTATATACCCCAGCCAGTGTCAAAATTTTATTTTTTTTAAAAAACTACATGAATCTCTTATTCTCAGTTTCGCAATAATTCTTATGGCATATTTTTGAAGAACAAAAACTCTTTGCTTTGTAGAACAGGTACCCCAATTAAGTATGCCATATTTCAAATGAGAGTATAAATTTGCATTATAATAATCATAATAATAATAATAATCATAAGTTTTTGTCGTTTCCATGACAACCCATTTAAAATCGGTAGACGTAAGACAAATTTCAAAATAAATCGATTAGGTGGCAGTAAATCTTTTTTAAATGCGAATTTTGTTGCTAGTTGGGAAATTGACTAAAAAACTGATAGAAAAAACTGCACGTTTTGCCAAGCAAAAAATGCAACACAAAAAATCTAGTGTAATTAACTGGTAATTTTTTACAAAAAAAAAAATAAGAACACGGTCAAATTGTCTGAATTTTTAATAATATTGTTGTACTTAATATACAGGGCGTTGAAATTAAAATTTCCGAATTCTGTAAAATCGACACCAAATAATCCTTCATAAATTTTTTTGCAAGTGAGTAAAAAGATAGGAAGAAATGTACTTTATTTTTTATAGTAAGACTTTTTAGTTGTACCTTTGGTAAGATTCATAAGATACATCTACCAGCAAATAAACTTTGGCGGTGGGCAGTAGCGCACGGCATTGTCCAAAAATTTATTTGGACTATAGTTTTAAATTTTTTGATGTACTCTTGTTGGGAAATTCAAAATTTCCAAATAAATTAAGGGTATCAACCTTTGTGTCCGAATATCTCGAAAAAGAATCACTTTATAAGTTTCCAACAAGAATACATGATTTATGTAAAAAACATCAATAAATTTAAAATTATAGTCCAATTGATATTTTGACAGTGGCGTAAAATTTAGAAGGGTCGCGTGTTACATACCCATGCCGAACGCCACTGGTAAAGTTTATTTAACCTATTTTTTAGCTAATATGTGTCTCTTATGACACCAAAAAACGTTTGCCTAATTTAGTAAAATTATATTGAGTAATACAAAAATTATAGCCATTAATAATTTTTAAATTGAGTGGGCCAACGAAAACTTTACGTCCCAATTTTCCGGCTTTAAAATGAAAATCGGGAAAAAAGCTCGAACTCGTCGATTTTTAATTCGAGGGGGAACCAATTGTTTGGTTTTTTTCAACTCTTTAACAGGGGTAAGCATAACCCCCTGTTTTTGAAAAGAGGTAAGAGGTGTTGCAATACCTCATTTTGAAGATCTGATCAAGTACTATTTGATTCTCAAATTTCGCACCAAAATTTTTATTTAACATCTAAAACAGTGAAAGAGACAATGTGGAAAAAATGTCGATTTATTAACAAACAAAAAGAATACAGTGTGTTCGCTATACTTACGCGGGTTTCGGATTAAAAATTTTATGAGTATTTCCAGGTAAGTACCCGAAAGTTTAATCTGTTCTTTGGGGAGATATCAACTGGTTAAATGAAATAAAAAATAATGTACAACTTCTTAATTAAATAATAATGGAGAATCTTTTGTATAATAGAGAGCAGAATTAAACTTCTTTATTAATGGAGTCTAATGTGGCTATTTATTATCCTAATAATAATTTTATGTTACATTTCACACAGAAAATATGGTCTATGTATAATAAGAGGGTTATTTAGCTCAAATAAAATATTTTGTAACATAAAAATTTGTTCCATGTAGAGAATTTCAAATGAAAAATAAAAAAATTGAACCTGCCAACAAAAATGAAAATCAGTCATTATCATCCAAAATATCACAATCGTCATCATCGTCACTGTCATCACCATTAATTGTTATTATTTTCACGAGTCCACCAATCTTCTATTATTTTCTCGCACTTGGATATACAGTTCCGCCACACTTCTGGAGTTGCAATTGAAAGTGCTTTTTGCCAAGTTTGCCGAACTGCGTCGTCACTATAACCATTAGGCCCAATATGGTTGTCATAATAATGTTTTGCTATTCCCCACATATATTCGATGGGATTAAACTGGCAATGATACGGTGGCAGATTTAAAACTTGATCGCCGTAACTTTTTAAATCATCTGCATATAAAAGGCAATTTACATCAATGCACTCCACGATGTCGTTAATAAATATATTAAAAAGCAGAGGACCAAGGACAGATCCTTGCGGCACCCCAGACGTTGCAAAATATTTTACAGACTAAAACCGTTTAAGAAAACATACTGTTGACGATTTTGCAAGTATGAACGGAACAGTTTTATGACAGACTCTGACAACCCGTAACCGATCAGTTTGTTTATAAGAATCCCATGATCGAGTCTGTCAAACGCCTTTGAAAAGTCTGTATATACAACATCAGTTTGCAGTCGATTGTCCATATGTCAATATGTCAAATTTAATGATGTTTTTGTTAAAAGTTTGTTTAGAATTTAAATGTCAGTGGAACCATTATTGCGTCACACTAATACGGCGTATTCTCCTTCAATTTAGCTTCTCTCGAATTATTATTATTAGTTACAGAGTGAGTTATAAATTACTGAAAATATAGTAACTTAATATTTATTTTAGTA